TGCGATCCAACCTCTCTTCGACAGTGCTGGAGCTTAAGAAACTTGGCATCGACGACCTCGTCCACTTCGACCTGATGGATCCTCCGGCCCCCGAGACCTTGATGAGAGCCTTGGAGGAACTCAACTACCTTGCGTGTCTGGACGACGATGGAAACCTGACCCAGCTGGGCCGCCTCGCATCTGAATTCCCTCTCGACCCTTCCCTTGCCGTCATGCTTATCAGCTCTCCCGAATTCTACTGCTCGAACGAGATCCTCTCGATCACGGCCCTTCTTTCCGTGCCCAACGTGTTCGTCCGCCCGGCCTCTCAAAGGAAGCGCGCAGACGAGATGAAAGACCTGTTTTCCCACCCCGACGGTGACCACCTGACCCTCCTCAACGTCTACCACGCCTTCAAGAGCCCCGAAGCCCAGGACAACCTCAAGCAATGGTGCCACGACCACTTCCTCTCCCTCCGGTCGCTGCAGTCGGCCGACAACGTCCGCATGCAGCTCCTGCGCATCATGGAACGCGAGGAGCTCGAGATGATCTCCACGCCCTTCGAGGACAAGAAGTACTACGAGAACATCCGCCGCGCGCTGTGCGCCGGTTTCTTCATGCAGGTCGCCAAGAAGGAGAGCCAGGGCAAGAGCATGTACATGACCATCAAGGACCACCAGAACGTCCTGCTCCACCCGTCGACGGTGCTCGGCCACGAGGCTGAGTGGGTCCTGTACAACGAGTTCGTGCTCACCACCAAAAACTACATCCGTACCGTGACCGCGGTCAAGCCCGAGTGGCTTATTGTAAGTTCAACCCTTCCTGGCTCGTCAAGAGCGAAAAAAAAAATCGCATCGACAGTTTCACTAACCTGTGTTAATCTAGGACATCGCCCCGACCTACTACGACATTTCCACTTTCGCCAAGGGCGACATCCGTTCCTCGCTCCTCCGCGCCGCCGAGCGACTCTCGCGTCGTGAGAAGATCCGTGCGGAAAAGAGACGATAGATGGGATAGCATATTTTGTCGCGTTGCTATTTTTACCATTCTCATGAAATATAATAGACATTTTCTTTTTCTCCTTGAAACATGATATCAGACATTTCCAAGTCGCACGGGCCAATATGATTTGGGCATAGGTTCTTACATCTTTCTCCTAACACTTATGCATCCTTTCGTCTCGTAACCGCCCGTGATAGATAATAAAATAATCTCGAAGCAGTAAATTGTGTCAACTGCACCGCGAGGAAATGAACCCTTGTCCCTTCAACCCCACCCTCTCTCCGCGTAATTTGAGAGACCCCATCATCGCCCAATTACAGATAAAATAAATGCAAATACTCCAACAGCATGTACCTCGATTCTACTCCAAAAGATAGACAAACGGCAGCCTCAGGCATCAATAGGGCTGAGTGCGGTGGCCTGGGGCACCAGGAAAAGTGGGTCTATCACCAACCTCCGAAGGGTAGTATACAACGGCAGCCGCGGTGGTGTCGCGGTCCTCACCAGAGCCACCGTAGTCTTGAACGGCGGTGCGACGGCAGAGTCTGGGCTCGAATCCCAGTCGCGGCAGGATTGCCGTTTGTGCTTGTTTTATTTTGTGAGCTGTGGGCGAGGGAAGGGCGTCATGGGGGTGTCATTTGGTTTTCGCACCCGGGGATAGATGATGCGAAGGGAAGGCGTCATTGTTAGCGGGAGGCCGCTCTCGCTCTGTGTTGGGTGACTGTACTGCTTCTGCATGGCTGGATTTGGTTTTCACTTCTTATGAACAGACTAAAGAAGGAGAGATAGGATGTCGGACTGAATGATAAGTAAAGAATCTGGTATTCTGATATACTCGCTCAGCTATCTACCGTTGTAGTACAAGTATAATATACAAAGATTGAAGCGCAAAGGTGCCTCCCACTCTGGGCACTTGATCAAGATCACATGATATCAGATGCCCGTTGGCATCGAAGGGGATACTCGCAACCCTGCCATCCCATGACCCCCGGAAACCTCACTTAGTGAGCATACGGTATATACAGTATGCGCAGCAGGCAAGTGGGGCCTACTGCTGCCCCTATTTTCTCGGGACCCCTTTCTATTCCAAGGCCTCGGCAGCACCGGCAATACCTTCTTGAGGCGGAGTACTAGAGTCGGTGGAAAGTACGAGACAGTACCAAGGGCTGTTGTTCCGTACAAAAACGAAATCTCCCTGAAGTGTCCCTGAGTTCATGGCTTGGGCGAAGGCATCATTCCAAACGACATGGTCCATTTCTTCTTAGCCGGTGAGACTTGATCTCCCTGGGTGGGGCTGGGTGATGATGAGACTAGATTATGTGCCAACCCGGCTGGCAGGTGGGGATGCGACGCTGTAACATGAGGCGGAGGAGGGGGGGATGTTGTGTCAACAGGCGTGGGCCGAGTTAAGGGGGCGGACGTAGTTGAATGTTGAGGGGAAGGCGACGGTGGAGATGCTTGGGGAAGGGGGTTGGATATGGTGACTGTTCGGTGCAGATCGAAGACCATGCGCTTGAGCTGGGCAATCTCAGCTTGTAGGGAGGCGATCTCGGTCTTCTGGGCGTTGACGACTGCGCTGTTGTGCTGCTGGATATCATGGGCTTGCTGACTGATTTCCTTCAGGAGTGTGGTGCGATCGTCTTGAACGAGGTCTCCAGTACCGCCCTCTTTCGCGGCTTTGTGCATAGCCACCGGTCCGGAGATGATGGCAGAGAGGACATCGTGGGCGTATGACTTCATCATATCCTGCCACTGAGCGGTGGAGGCTCGCTCGGTGGTCAGACCGTCGAGCTGCTCGCTGACAGCTCGGACAAAGGAATAACACCTTTCCCACAACGTTTTTGTGGAGGCCTCGGCGGCTTCTGTGCCCACTGCAGTCTGAGCGGCCTTCCAGCGGTTGTAACGCGGATCGCGCTCAAAGGTCAAATCAATTTGTTTTTCCGCCCACTTCCAGTCAAATCCACTCTTCACAAACGCTTGGATGATCTTATCGGAGATTTGGGTTTGGCCGCATTCATCACAGAGGTAAACCATCTTGACGATCAGGCGCTCAACGCGCGTCGCCTTGTGTTCCGTTGTCGACCCAATAAAGGCGACGGTCCGTTGCAGGGCCTGGATACCCTTTGCCCAGTCAGAACGGATGGCGTAGAACCCGAGGTAGGAGCTCAAAGTCGCATAGTCGTCCATATACCCAGATGCTCGAGAGACTTGAAGGTAGGCGTCCGCACGGTCGGGCTGATTGAAGCGTAGGCATGACCGAATCAGAGTGCCGTAGATGACGGCATTCGCGCTGTCGACTGGTGGGACCTGAATCTCGATTCCGTTGACCACCACATTCTTGTAATGGCCTAGGTTGCCCATGTCCAGCGGATAGCCATCCCCGGCTAATTGGCGAAGAAACAAGTCAAAGGCCTTGAGATTCTTAGATTTGCGGAAAAAGTTCAGAATTGAAATGATGAGAGACGATGTGAGAGGGAATTTATGGGGTATGATGGCCTGTAGAATCATCTCACAGATGTCGTTTTCTCGGGTCTTGGTAAATGCCAGCAGCATATGCTTCAGACCTAGACTGCGGTCAGGGTTGGTGGATTTCGTGAGGTTGTTGGCTAGTCTGAGGAGAAGCTCTTGAAGAGACATCCTATTCGCCAGGTAAAGATTGGTATCTCGGTATATTTCCCCGTCAAGCCTCTGGCGCTCCGTCATTTGATCTTGAGGTGGAAGCGAATTCATCTCCGCCTCCAGATCTTCTATGCTGGCACGTTTGGAAGCTTTCACGTTCTTCATTCGGTTACGGAGCTTATCTAAGTGAATAAGAAGCTCCGGAACGTTGGGCGCAGGCATAGAATAGTCGACTGCGTATTTCATCTGCAGACCCTGGTAACTATGCGCGATTCCCCGTCGGAGTAGCATCCGAATGGCCAATTGCTTCAGCGCCATCTTGCGAATAGCCTTTTGGCGAGTACTGCTCTCCTTGAGCCATTGAGGGGTGTCAAAGTCTTCGATCATCCACAAGTTATCCTCCTCCGTGACTTCCAACAATGGGTCTTCGCTGATTTTGTTGAGCTCTTCTAGGCTGTTCTCGTCTCGCCGTTGATTGCTCTTGCTGAGAGCGACGTTTCGACTCGTATGGAATGAACGACGCGAGATATTCGCTGACGGCCATCGGTAACGGTAGGATGTTGCTCTTGTTTGTGTGCTAGTTGGTCGGGTCGAAGTTATTTCCATTCCCTCGCCGCGGCGGGCGAAAATGGCCTCTACTAGGCGTTCCTCCTCATCAAGCAGCGCATTGACCTCACCCTTGGCCGCTGCGATCTTCTCCTCCCACTCATTGCGGCGCTGACCTTTGGCCTGGGCGTCTGCTAGGGCCGCAGCGGCAAAGATACTCGTGTACAGGGCTGTGACCGAATTGCCTAGGCGGAGTCGTTTCTTGCTGGCTGCTGTAGCCCCTCGCGATGCTACGCCTTTGGAGACGGTGCTGAGGCAGGAGACGCATCGGCACGTTGACTGCGCCGGGGTGACGCGGGACCAGAGACCTTTCATTCTCCGGTCATTTCTGCGCCCTGAATTGAGACCAACAAGGTAATTCCAAGATATGCCGGGTTCCAATTGACCGGGCTCTCTGACGAATGAAGCCAATGGGCAAGGGAACAATAGACGTTCAATGGAGCCTGTGAAATGGAGAAGCAATTGGCCGATGTCGAAGTTTGGAACTTTTGCTTTCAACAGGATTGCATCGGCAAAAGTCGCACCACCACACCGCTTGCAAACGGTGCAAACCACTCACTAGTCAATTCGGCCCCCGGCCGGGCCCCCCCTTCCCATTCCCCGATTGTCATCAATACATACGGTTACGGTGGTTCACTTGCAACTTCTACCTACCCCGGTGAAGAATTGCTTTGACTAGTTAACAAATATTGATCTGTCAGATTTGCAGGTCGCTTTTGGGAAACTTGTCTGGCCATTGCTTCTGTTCAATTGATATTACCCGATAAGCCGGTGCGATCATCGCTGAAGTGATCATGCTCGTCACAGTAGCTACTGCTCTCCTGGCCCTAAGCGGCACTCTTGTCAGCGCCCACGGTTCGCACTCGAATGACCAGCCACCCTCCTCCGACTGGGCAACACGGCATATGCAGGGTAAGGACCTTATCCGGAAGCCAATGCAGTGTCACTGATGTAATCGTGTGCGTTCATAGAGGAACATCACATCGATGCCTTCGATCCCGCCTCCTTCTTCTCCCTCCACGATTACGATGCCTCGGGAGTCTGGACCCCCGAAGAAGTGCGCAAGACATACGGCATGGACGACGAGTCCAACGCGGGAGTGACAGAGGATAGCAAATCGCAAGGCCTCCGCGAAGTCTTCAGCATCTTTGATCCCACCAACACGGGCGTCATCAGTCGCGATAACTGGATGCGCCTCATTGCGGACGGAGCCCGGCTCCCTGATCTCGGACTCGGACCGGGCCATCATGGTGACATCGAATACGAATATGAGATCCACCACTTCGAAAAGTTCCACGGTGAAGATGCAAAGGAGGAGGACCTCACTCACCCCGAGGATATCGAACACTTCCGCAGACATGATGAGGAGGATCTTGCCATGGAGCGCCTCGAACAGCTCGAGAGTATGCAGATCGTGGAGGCGAACATACCCCAAAAGTTCCTCAAGCGGAGCTGAAGATCTGTACTGTAGAGTTCTTGCGCTGTTGCCACTGTACTGTACATATGTTTCATGAGATGATCTTGAGCGTCGATTGCATCACCCGAAGGTTGGAGTTCATGGAGTATTGGTGTGTGTGTGGTTCAATTGCCACGAATGTTGGGGGCTTCTATTTCTTCTCTTGAAGATAGCCGCACATCGAAGACGCAATGCATCACCCCCGGCGCATAAGTCTTGACCTGCTCAACATGCCGACAATCAGCTGCAGCAGTCACCTTCTCGGACTCTATTCCCAACACTCTCACTCGCAGTCTTGCCAATTCCGCGGTGACCTCGTTATTCTTCTCCTCGATGCCCTGCACATCGACATTCTCATGAACATGCACCCACCCACCCTTCTCACTATCCACAATCTTGCTGGCATTCTCATACGCGAAGCAGGATGAAGGAAGCAGCCCCAAATTCACATGCCTGACCCGACTCCACTCCTCTGCTCTCACGCACCCCCTAATCTGCCCCAGAATCTCCGCGGCAAACCGATTATCCCCATGGAACACCACCACGCGATCCTCCTCCGTCAACCCCTCCACCACATTCTTTAGTGACTCTCCTCCCAGTAACGATCCGTCCTCTCCAACGCGGAACACCTTACATCCCCACCCATTCTCTTGACACCCCCTCCGCAACCCCTCCACCGACCACCCATTGATCTCAAACCCCCACACCCTCTTCACCCCACGCTTCAGATACGAGTACACGAAATACCCAATCCCAGCATACATGTCCACCACGCTGATCCCCGAGACCTTTTCCCCGAGTTGCTCCTCATCCAACCCCTCAAACTCAGTTCCCAAAATCCGCGCTTTCTCAGTAATATTCCCCCGTGAGAACATGGTATACAACGGCGCCCAGATCTGTACGATCCCGTGATTCTGAACCGTGCGTACCCAGAATGCTTGCTCGAGGTCTGTGGCTGTCGGGCATGCTATCGTCGCTTCGCCTTCCCCCTGCCCCTGCGACGCAGACGCAGTAGCCGATGTAGAATTATCTGGTAGAGGCCCGAAGTCCCCATATAGCGGGATCAACCCTCCCGGACTGCGGATCCGGTTCTCCGCCCCGGAGTTGGGGTCCGTGAGTGCAATAGGCGCGTTCATGGCCACGTGGGTGAGGCCGTAGCGGGCAAAGGACTGGAGAAGGGTGGCAAAGAGGGTTTGCCGCTGGCTCGCGGTGAGAGCTTGATACAAGGAGTGCCAAGCCGGGGGAGTGGTGAAGGCGTTGACCGGGAGGAGCAGGAGAGGTTCGTAGATGGTGAAACGTTTGGGAAGGGAGGCGAGAGTTAGGTTGTGCTTGGCTAGGGTATCTGCAGGAAGGTGCTGAGTGATAAAGGCTTGGATGCCATGGTGGAGGGGGTTGAGCGTCTGTTTCCTTGGCCTTCTTGGAGGGCGAGGAGATGATGTTTCTGGAGCTGGGGCTGGGACTGGGGGACTTGAAGCAAGCTCCTGCTCCAAGATACTGGTGTCTGTTTGCATTTTGTCTTCAAGCTGGGGCTTAATGGTCAACTCTAATGCATCGACCAATGTATGGTTCTGGTTGATACCCGCGCGGTTATGTATTGCGCGTTGGTGATCTGATGTGAAGTGTTAGCGAAGTTGACTTCTACATGGAAATGCTGTTTACTTAAGTAGGAGAGAAAATCAGGACCTCCTTCAAATCCATATTCTTGTTGATACACTAGGCATCAACGAGGTTCACTGCTTTTAGTCCGGATGTTTCCCGCATTGAGATAAAAATGACAGATCATGTGACCACGCATGTTCATAGCTATGGTATTGAATTGACACCGCAAGATCTAGACAGCCTGCTGCATGAGTATGGAGACTAAGGCCAAACCATATGTCCCATTCTGGAATTTGAAGATCCTTTAGCAATATGTCAGGAAGCGATCTCCACCTTCTTACATGAAGCGATCGCAACGCGACAGAAAGGCGGCGACGCGAGCGGACACGCGATTTGCCCGACTTATTCCACTTGTCTCCCCACCGCTTTCTCATCATCGCAACAGTCTTCGAGTAGAAGCGCACTTTTAAATCAAAGTGTTGATCATTTGTTCTTTACACTACGTCGGACGAGTCTTACTGAAAGACTGGAGACGGGTCTATCGAGGGTTGATTGCTGCGGTTGCGTCATCGATCGAGACCGTTCAGCCCTCTGTCCCGCCATCGCCTGATCAATAGGACAACCACTATGGATCCTGATATGGAGATTGACACGTTAGAGCCACGGGGTACCAAAAGACCCGCAGAGGAGGTCGAGCAGAATGATGAGCCGAAGAAGCCTAAGAGAATCAGGGTCAGTTGCTCACCCGGACCATCTCCATCGATGCTATACTCACAACCACAGGCCCTTGACCCTGATGTGGTCAACAAGATTGCAGCTGGAGAGATCATTGTTGCTCCCATGCATGCCTTGAAGGAGTTGATTGAAAACGCTGTCGACGCTGGCTCGACCTCCATTGAGATCCTGATCAAGGATGGCGGGCTGAAACTACTCCAGATCACTGATAACGGACATGGCATCGACGTGAGTTTGTGCTGAATGACATGACTTCCATCCGCTAACCAAACGAAGCGAGACGATCTACCCATCCTCTGCGAGCGGTTTACGACTTCCAAACTCAAAGCCTTCGAGGATCTCACCTCAATAGGCACCTACGGCTTCCGAGGCGAAGCCCTGGCGAGTATCAGCCACATCGCCCATCTGACCGTCACCACGAAGACGGCCGGATCGAGCTGTGCCTGGAAAGCGGTTTACAGTGACGGCAAGCTTGTTCCTGCGAAGCCCGGCCAAAGCGCTGCCCCCAAAGCCACTGCCGGCCGCGGAGGCACGCAGATCACCGTGCGTATGCTGACAATACAGCCCCTGGCGGACAAATTGCTGACCTGCGTAGGTTGAGGATCTCTTCTACAACGTCCCAACCAGACGGCGAGCATTTCGCTCCGCGAGCGAAGAATACGCCAAGATTCTGGACGTTGTTGGACGGTACTCCGTCCACTGCGCGGGGGTGGCCTTCTCGTGCCGTAAACACGGCGACTCGGGCGTCAGCATCTCCACCCCGGCCAACGCCAGCACGATCGATCGGATCCGACAGATCCACGGCAGCGCCGTGGCCAACGAGCTCGTGGAGTTCCAGGTCGAGGACGAGAAGCTCGGGTTCCGCTCGTCGGGCCTGGCTACCAACGCCAACTATCACGTCAAACGCACGGTCATCCTGCTGTTCATTAACCACCGCTCGGTCGAGTCGACCGCCCTGAAGCGAGCAATCGAGCAGACATATTCGAATTTCCTCCCCAAGGGCGGCCACCCCTTCGTCTACCTGGATCTAGAAATCGAACCGCAACGGGTCGACGTCAACGTCCACCCCACGAAACGCGAGGTCAATTTCCTGAATGAAGACGAGATCATCGAGAGCATCTGCGCCGACATCCGCGCCAGGCTGGCCCAGGTTGACTCCAGCCGGACCTTCCTCACGCAAACCCTCCTCCCAGGCGTGCGAACCATGGCGGCCGAAGCCGAAGAACCAGCCGACGACGACGACAGCACCGGAGGGACGACGGGGGCCCCCAAAACCCCGAAAACGCCAGCAACCACCAAGAAACCCTACGAACACAACCTGGTGCGTACCGACTCGAAAGTCCGCAAGATCACCTCCATGCTCACGCCCGCCGCCGCCGCCGCCACCACCCCATCAGCCGTAAACCCAACCACTACCACCGTCCTCGACGAAGAAGGCCTGCACTACGAAACCACAACCCGCGAACCCCTCCGCATCGCCCTCACCTCCATCAAGAACCTCCGCGCCGCCGTGCGCAGCAGCATGCACACGACGCTGACGGAGACCATGGCAGCCCTCACGTACGTGGGGCTGGTCGACGAACGGCGGCGCATCGCCGCCATCCAAAGCGGCGTGAAGCTGTACCTAGTGGACTACGGCCTCTTCAGCCACGAGTTCTTCTACCAGATCGGGCTCACCGACTTCGGCAACTTCGGGGTCATAACCCTGGACCCCGCGCCGCAGCTCATCGACCTGCTGCGCATCGCCGCCGAGGCCGAGGCCGAAGAAGTCGCCGATCACCACCCAAACACAACCTCAACCTCAATTCCATCGAATCCAGCAGCCGCAGAAATCTACACCAAAGCCCCCGAAGTCGTCGCGCAGACCCTCCTCGCGCGCCGCGAGATGCTAAACGAGTACTTCTCGCTCCAAATCTCGGCGGACGGCGCCCTCGTCTCCCTGCCCCTGCTGCTGAAGGGCTACCTGCCGTGTCTCGCCAAGCTCCCGAAATTCCTGCTGCGGCTGGGACCCTACGTCGACTGGTCGAGCGAGGAAGCGTGCTTCCGCGGCTTTCTGCGCGAGTTGGCCGCGTTCTATGTCCCGGAGCCGTTGCCATTGCCTGCCCCTGCCGCTGCCCCGGCCGCTGCCCCTGCTCCACGGACATCGGCTGCTGCAGACCATGCACAACCAGCTGGAGCTGGAGCAGCAGCAGCAGCAGCAGCAGCAGCAGCAGGGGAGCATACCGTCTCCATCCCCTCTCCTACCGCTTCAGCTCACGACCCTCCTACCGAGAAGGAATCCATCCCGCAGGGAACCCCCGCAGAGGAAACAAAAACAGAACGGTACATAGAGCAGCGCCGCGCACAGATAGCCCGGATGCTGGAGCACGTGGTGTTCCCGGCGATGCGGGGCCGGTTGGTGGCGACGACGCGGCTGTTGGGCGGGGTGATCGAGGTGGCGGATTTGAAGGGGTTGTATCGGGTGTTTGAGCGGTGTTGATTTTGTCCCCTTGCTTGCTTGTGATGTGTTTGTTCCGTAGGTGTGGTGTTGGGGTGTTGGGGTGGATGTATGTTATGTATCATGAGGTATAGGGAGGGTTTTTGAGGTGATTTGTTGTCTGGTCTGTGAGCTGCGAGGGTCGAGGGGTTTATGGTAGGGTAGGTATTGTTTGGGCTGATGTAGGAGTTCATTATGCAGGCCTGTGAGAAGGAATGGCACAGTACAATCATGGATGTTTATAGAAACAATTAGCAAGAAGGCCAAGTCCGTGGCACGGAGCGTGTGCTACTGAACAGATATTCTACCGTTGACTCCAAGTACTATGTTGCGTGTACATCAAGGTTATCTCTCAACAGCACATTTCAGAAAGTGGGAGTAATACGACCCAAAACAGGTTGAGCTCTAACACTATTAGAATCAGCCATACCTACAGATAGCATCATGACACCATCGAATCAACTCAAGTTCCAATCGAAGTCATCATCTGGTAATAAATGAGGTAGTATGGGCAAGACGAGATACCACTATAAGCTTCCAAACCTAACACACAGCACAAAAATCCCATTACCACAGACGCCCACACAACCCAGCCAACACACACAAAGATACTTATCTCAGACATCACTAGCATATATCCGGATGCATGTATCAGGTGAAACCACGGAGATTCAACTTACTTCTCACGCGGGAAGCAAATCCCATCCAACGCCAATCAGAAACAAAAAAAGCGGAATTCCATTAGATCGGTTCAGTTCATGCCCTCGTAAAATTTCCGTTTCAACAGTCATCAAGTAAAAGTTGTGCAGGTGTGTGCGTGTGTTCCCGGCTCTAAGGGAACGATCCCTGCAATCTTCTTCTTCTTCTTCTTCTTCTTCTCCTCGGATCCTGGTTGCATTGCAGCCCCAATACATCATGCAAAGCAGGGCCTGGCGAGGTACGTGCTTGTCTGCAGGGGTGCTCCTGCAGGAGGTGCGTATGATACTATGCAGAGTCGCTCCACTATCGGGAATACGGTTTGTTCATAAGCGCAATCTCGCGGGCCACAGTCGGCCATTCTAGTTCTCTTCTGGGCGTCTTGTTGCGTTTTTGTACTTGCAACTCCTCCCATTTGAGAAGTTCATATCTGGGCATCCCGTTAGCATGGCGCAACGGCATATGACCGTCACAAACTCGGAAGACTTACACGAAACGCAAGTGAGGTTGAATTATAACATTGAGTCTTCTCGCACGAACGAAGCAACTAGCATAGATGTTAGCAATTATATCAGACGTGATCTCTGTCAAAACTTACTAAGCTCTAGGGAACGACAAGTTAAGAGACGACATCACTTCGGCTATGCAGATGGTAGCCGAACGTGAGACTCCCACACGGCAATGAACCAAAGTAGCCATGCCATCGCATTTTCCTTGACCTGAGAAAAGGGTAAGCAACATAGTCTGACTTGCTGTAACAATAGCTCTTACGGATGAATTCCAAGCACTTTTCAAACTCCTGAGTCAACGGGTCGATGCCGTTATCCTGGACCTTAGTGATGTGCATGACGTTCTTCGGATCCATCTTCGTGGTTTCCGACGCAGTCCACGTCACCGATTCACCAATACTCAGAACACGACGGATACCGAGCTCCCAAAGCATTTCGGGATTGTTCGCATGGGAGAGATTGCCAAGGTACATATACGGCAAGATCCGACTCGGCAGGGAGCCGTCACAATATCTAAACCATTGCGGGTCGGGAAGGCTGGTAAGTTTGTGAGACTTCGTGGCCGGACTCTCTTGCAAGAGTCTCCCTTGCACGCTGCTCAAGAACGTGACATCCGAGGGATACGCAAAGAAGTTTCGCTTCTTCTCACTGTGGAGACGGAGCCAGGCATTGGGCGCGGAGATGCCTTCGGCAAACATCACGTATGCAATTGCTAAGAGTGAGCTCTCAGTGTAACCGTCGGGGCAATGAATCAGAATCTTGTGTGGCCTTCTGCTGAGAGGCGGCATTGCGATGTCGCCATCGGCGTCAACAGTGTGCTCCGGTTCATCTGGGTTTGCCAAATAGTACAACCAGCGGATCGTGTTCACCAAGTCATCAACTTCTCGGGTCTCACTCGAAGGTGCGAGGATCGATCCAGATGAGGGAAATTCCAACTTTTGTGGTCCTTCTTCGAGCTGCTTGTTGAGATTTGCCAGAAAACGAGGCCCAGGAATGCTCGCCAGCTCGCTTGTTTCGATCAGCAGGTCAAAAGTCTCCGCAGACGGGCAACCACCGGGCCCAGATAATAATAAATAGTCGGATGTCGGGCCCAGCCATATGTTCCTTGAAATCTCG